ACAGATTTTCATGCTACACCGGAACGGCGCGGGAACACGGCGAGAGGAACGCGCGGAGCAAAGGTAAGTGAATTGACACAGGGGGGACTTGGGGACTTATTATGGGGGATGAATTACTATAGGGGGAATGAATTACTATATGGGGGGATGAATTACTATGGGGGATGAATTACTATATGGGGGATGAATTACTATATGGGGGATGAATTACTATGGGGGATGAATTACTATATGGGGGATGAATTACTATGGGGGATGAATTACTATGGGGGATGAATTACTATGGGGGATGAATTACTATATGGGGGATGAATTACTATGGGGGATGAATTACTATGGGGGGTGAATTACTATATGGGGGATGAATTACTATGGGGGGTGAATTACTATATGGGGGATGAATTTTACTATATGGGGTATTAATTACTATGCTTACTATGAGGGGAATATTACTATACTTACTATGGATGACACATCATTCATTCTACTCTTGGTCCGGCCCCCGGGTCCAATATATGAACCCATTGCGGCCCTCAAGTCAAAAAGTTTGCCCACCCCCTGGTCTAGCCTGTAGAGCTCTGTGCATCCTTCCATGGATATGCCTCCCCAGATCATCACTGACCCACCACCAAAACAGTCATGCTGAACGATGTTACAGGCAGCATAATGTTCTCCACGGCTTCTCCAGACCCTTTCACGTCCGTCACATTTGCTCAGGGTGAACCTGCTCTCACCTGTGAAAAGCACAGGGCACCAGTGGTGGACCTGCCAATTCTGGTGTTCAGTGGGAAATGTCAATCGAGCTCTATGGTGCCAGGTAATGAGCACAGGATCCACTAGAGGGCAACGGGCCATCAGGCCACCCTCATTAAGTCTGTTTCTGATTGTTTGGTCAGAGACATTCACACCAGTGGCCTGCTGGAGGTCATTTTGTAGGACTCTCGCAGTGCTCATCCTGTTCCTCCTTGCACAGAGGAGCAGATATCGGTCCTGCTAATGGGTTAAGGGCCTTCTACGGCCCTGTCCAGCTCTCCTAGACTAACTGCCTGTCTCCTGGAATCTCCTCCATGCTCTTGAGACTGTGCTGGGAGACACAGCAAACCTTCTGATAATGGCACGTATTGATGTGCCATCCTGGAGGAGTTGGACTGCCTGTACAACCTCTGTAGGGTCCAGGTTTGGCCTCATGCTACCAGTAGTGACACTGACCCTAGCCAAATGCAAAACTGGTGAATAACAGAAAAGATGAGTAGGGAACAAATGTCAGTGGCCTCCACCTGTAAAACCATTCCTGTTTTGGGGGTTGTCTCATTGTTGCCCATCTAGTGCACCTGTTAGTTTCATTAACACCAAACCAGCTGAAACTGATTAACAACCCCCTCTGCTCCTTAACTGACCAGATTAATATCCCAGCAGTTTCATTGACTTGATGCTAGACTCTGATTAAATAGTGTTCCTTTCATTTTTTTTTTAGCAGTCTATATACGTAGTACCTGTAATAAATAAATACATTAATTACAAAATATGTCATTCTATGATTGGTGGCAGTGCTGAGCGAGTGCTCCACCCCATGGTCACTATGCAGAATTGCAGCTGCTCAGCACAGGACCGGGAGGACAGTGATTTGTGCTTCCACAGTGAGTGATCACTCAGATGCACAGATATACATTCATCCAGGCTAAACCAATATAACTATGCAATATGTACAGTCTGAAGAAAAGAAGAGAGACGGGGGATATAAATTACATCTTTAAATCCATGAGGGTGTGTGAATAGGGTTCAGGAGGACAGGATTTTGACTCTGAAGCTCAGATCAGGAACACGAGGACGTGACCTCATCAGGCAGAAAGAAAGTTCAACACTAACCTTAGAAAGGATTATTTTACCAAAAGAGTAGTTGATGCTTGGAACAGACTTCCAGCAGAGGTAGTGAGTCAGTCAACAGTAAGTGAATTAACCACTTGACCTCGCTCCTCTGCCTTTTGGCTAAGATCAAGTGTAGTATCTGTTCTTATCAGTGTCCAGTAGGGGTGCTCCACCGTCATTGTTGACTTTTGGTGAGGATGGCTGGCTGTATAGTACCCCTCCTGGTATGATGGGGGCTCTGAAGGCTAGTACCACCTGGAAGAGAAACTGAGGCGCCCACAAGCTGTTGGGGCCCGTAAGTCATTCCCCCGGGAAAACTGGAGGGTCCCAGTTTCTCCTGATTTGAGCGGGTCTACCTTGTCTGGCCAGGGGCTGGGAAGGCAGAGAGTCCACGGAGCAGTGCCTCCTGAGAGTGGTCGCCTCAGGGGTGCTCTTAGTAGCACCTGGGGGTGGGATCCCATGTGTGAAAAAGTGCACATGGTCACTGATCCAAACACTTTTTCTGCACTGCGCCTTTTAGGGCCAGGCCTTTTGGCTAAGTCCAAGGCAATTTTTTTTGCTATGGGCCTCAGGGCCTGAAGTCTACAGGGAGGATGTGTGGCCCTTAGGTTCCTTCCTCCTCCTGTCCCTTGGGGGGGTCTCTCTTCGGGAGAGCTCCCTGACCTAGTATTTGATGATCGGCTTCTGTTAGCCACATGGAAAGGGGTCCGCCAGGCCTTTTGGCTAGGTGGACATGTTGGAAACCCTTTGTCCCTGTCAGGAGCCTTGCACCCCAGGGGATCAGGGTAGAGGTCCTAACCCTTTGGGGGGGGGGGGGGGGGTGGACAAAAACACACCCCTAAGTGCACTTGTGTACATTTTGTGTTGGTGTTTCGCACTTGCACGTTTTCTCTTCACTTACGGGTTTTCATTTTTTCACACCTCCATGGACTCCTTGGAAAAAATAAACAACGCTTCCCTCCAGAAGATTTTACCCCCTTCATGACCAGGCCAAATTTTCTTTTTTATATTTAGCACTGTGCTACTTTAACTGACAATTGCGTGGTCATGCAACACTGTACCCAAATGAAAGGTTTATCATTTTTTCCACACAAATAGAACTTTCTTTTGGTGGTATTTGATCACCTCTGGGTTTTTGTTTTTTTGTGTGCTATAAACAAAAAAACACCAAAAATCTTGAAAAAAAAATATATTTTTTTAACTTTTTGCTATAAAACATATCCAATAAAAAAATAAAAAAATTTAATTTCTTCATAAATTTAAGCAAAAATGTATTCTGCTACATGTCTTTGGTAAAACAAAATCCCAATAAGTGTATATTGATTAGTTTGCGTGAATGTTATAGAGTCTATTATTATTATTATACAGGACTTATATAGCGCCAACAGTTTGCTCTGCGCTTTACATTATGGAGGGAGACAGTACAGTAACAATACAGTTCAATACAAGCGGGATTAGAGGGCCCTGCTCCTTGGAGCTTACAATCTAGGAGGGAGGGGATAGTGGTACAAGAGGTAATAAGCTGTGGGGGATGGAGTGGTAGGAGGAGTAGAGGATTCCAGTATTAGCTGGGGGCGGGGTAGGCTTCCCTGAAGAGATGGGTTTTCATGGAGCGCCTAAAGGTGAGCAGAGTAGGCGATAGCCTGATAGCTTGGGGTAGGGAGTTCCAGAGGATGGGGGAAGCCCTTGAGAAATCCTGGAGATGAGCATGGGAGGAGGAGACAAGGGAGCTAGAGAGTAGGAGGTCTTGTGAGGAGAGTACGGTTTGGGTGGTATATAGAGACAAGGTCGGTGATGAATTTTGGGGCAGAATTATGAACGGCTTTATAAGTCAGTGTTAGTGTTTTGAATTTTATCCGTTGGGCAATTGGAAGCCAGTGGAAGGATTGGCAGAGAGGGGTGGCAGATAGATAGCCTGCGATGAGGTAGGCCAATGAGGAGGGAGTTACAATAGTGAAGGCGTGATATAATAAGGGAGTGAATGAGTTGCTTAGAGGTTTCCGAGGTTGGGAACGGTCTACAAACTATATATACTGGAATTTGTTTTACATATACTAGTACTGGCAGTGATCCGCGAATTATAGCCGGCTGTGATAGTGCTGCGGGCAATCTGACACTAACACTGACCTCCAGAGCATCTGCGCATGAGCCAGATTTTTACTGATGACGGTACTGGGGGGGGGGGGGGGGTTTAAACTAGGGGGGTGTCAAATTATAGGGCATTTTTCCTCTTTGAACATTCTTGGGACAAACATAGATCTATACTCAGAAAAAAAGTTAGGAAAAGAAGAAAAGGGGCAAACTTGATGGACCATGTATTGTTTTCTGCCATCACTTTTCTATGAGATCAAAAGGACTCTGGTGTCCTCTGGGGGCTGGGGTACCGAGTGCAGTGCACAGATCTTTCCATCAGGGGCGCTCTGTGTCTGTCAGAGTGCAATATCCGGATCTGTCCGGCAGGGGCGCTCTGTCTGGCAAAGTGCAGTATCCAAATCTCTCCGGCAGGGGCACTGTGTGTCTGTCAGCGTGCAGTATCTGGATCTTTCCGGCAGGGCGTGCACTACCCAAATATTTCCGGCAGACGGCGTGCCTGTCAGACTGCAGTGTCAGTCTTTGTGTGTGGTAGAGTGCAGTATCCGAATCTTTCCGACAGGGGCGCTGTGTGTCTGTCAGTCTGCATTGTATGGATCTGTCCGGCAGGGGCGCTGTGAGTCTGTCAGTGCATTGTACGGATCTGTCCGGCAGGGGCGCTGTGTGTCTGTCAGAGTGCATTGTACGGATCTGTCCGGCAGGGGTGAGCTGTGTGTCTGTCAGAGTGCATTGTACGGATCTGTCCGGCAGGGGCGCTGTGTGTCTGTCAGAGTGCATTGTACGGATCTGTCCGGCAGGGGCGCTGTGTGTCTGTCAGAGTGCATTGTACGGATCTGTCCGGCAGGGGCGCTGTGTGTCTGTCAGAGTGCATTGTACGGATCTGTCGGCAGGGGCGCTGTGCGTGTTGTATGGTAGCCGGTCGGTCGGTGTGAGGTGTCGGTATCGCTCCGGTCGGTGTGAGGTGTCGGTATCGCTTCGATCGGTGTGCCAGGCTGGCGGGGAGGCGGCCGGTGTCAGATCGGTTGGCCCAGCAGAGGCGGAAGATGTTCTCTCGGATCTCTTCCATCCTGCAGCAGGCGGTGGAGGCGGTGAGTCCGGGGACGGGAGGACGGAGGCCGTACACTGCGTACTACAGTCCGGGGATCCGGGGGGGAGTGCAGGCCGCAGTGATGATGATGTGGCCGGAACTGAGCGCAGAGCACCGACCTGAGTGTAATGTGTACATTGACCGGGGAGAGATCCCTGTATACAGTGTGCTGTCCAATCATCACCCCTCCAGGTGTGTGTATATGGGGCTCCCCTCCCCCACACTGTGTGTAATCATCATCTATGTACAGTGTGTGTCTATATATAACCATCTTATACACCTCACTGTATATATACACATTGTACCCCAATATAATACTTACCCCCCCAATATGATGGCATAAATATTTACATCCAACAATTATACCTCTATACACCCCAACATTATAATTCTATACCCCCCTATTATATATACACACCCCAAATTATACCTCTATACCCCCAATATATACCCCCATGTTATCTCTATACCTCCTTCTATTATATATACACTCCATGTTATACTTCTATACCCCCATATTATATATACACAAAACCCAAATTATACCTCTATACCCCCAATATTATATATACACCCATGTTATCTCTATACCCCCTTCTATTATATATAATTACTCCATATTATACTTCTATACCCCCATATTATATATACACAACCCAAATTATACCTCTATGCCCTTCAATATCATGTTTACCCCCATATTGTATATGCACTCCATATAACACCTCTATACCCCCCTTATTATATATACACTGCATACTACACCACAATATTATTTATAATCCCATAATATAACTCTATACCACCCACATTATATATGCACTCCATATTGCACCTCTATACACCCCATATTATACCCCTGTACACCCCAATATATATAACCCCATAACATACCTCTATACCCCCAGTATTAGATATATTCCCCATATTATATGTATACACACCTATTATATATACACACACCATATTATACCCCTGTACACCCCAATATTATGTATACCCCCCATATTATATATGTACTACATATAACACCTCTATACCCCCCTATTATAAATACACTATATTATACCCTAGTACACCCCAATATATATTACCCCCATTATTATGTATATTCCCCCCCATGTCATGTGTGCACTCCATATTACAACTCTATATGCCCCTGTTATATATATATATATATATATATATACATCCTATAATGTATTATTTAGTATTCTGTGTACTGTCACATATATATAACATACTTCTATACCCCCCCCCCCCCAGCAGTGTCATATGTTACATCCCCCTCAATATTCAATATAAATACTTCTTGAATTGTATATACTCCATGACCAGCTTCCATCATGCAGTGATTGGGCCTCAGTGGCCAGTTTTTGGACTTCAGCACTGTCACACGACAGCGGATGACATCATCAAGGGGGTTAGTAAGAGACGCTGTCACTTCATCCTAAATGGGGGTCACAGCCTTCTCCCATAAGAATGTGTTCAGCCCCCCCAGACTGGAGATGAAGGGTGCTCTGGGGTCTGCAAGAATAAGACACGACATCTGTAATTCAGAACATGACTCTGACTGTGTTTATAAGATTACAGAATACTTGTTTGTACCTGGCCTCACGCTGACATATTTCAGTCACTTGGGATTCCTGGCAGAACACACACGTGAGGGTGGGGTGGGAGATGGGAACAGTTTATACTGTAGCGAGTGCTTAGTGTGATCTGCCAGCTGCCGAGTTCACATGTCCATCCTCTTTCCATGGACTGCGTTACCAACTGATTGTATAATAATAATAATAATAATAATAGTGTGTGACCGGGGGGGGGGGGGGGGGGCAGGGGACATCAGAGTGTTGGCTCCTCTGGTACGGCAACTGATGTGTTTGGTTCATTGTTCTATGTACAGCACCACAGCATATGTCAGAGTTCTATAAATTGCATAATAATAGTGTGTGACTGTGATGGGACATTAGAGTGTTAGCTCTTCTGGTGCAGAGGCTGATGTGTTTCTCTCTTTTTTTCTCAGCTTGCCCCATCGCTGCCGCTGCAGGAGGACTTTGTGTATCACTGGAAAGCCATCACTCATTACTACATAGAGACAACCGGTAAGAGGTGGCGGGAGGATCTGTCTGTCTCCTCATTGTCTGTACAGTGTGTGTGCTCAGCAAGGAGACTTCGATGAAGGTTTGGTACAACCTGCTGTCTCACTTTATCTGCATTACATGATAGAGTCTGAAATCTTCCTTTCTGGCATTAAAGATGAACTCCAATCAGGCAACTAGATGTACCACTGAAATAGTTATATGGAAACTAATTTATCTGTGAAGGTATCTCTGTTCAGCCAGTCCTGTGATCCAGACACCCCTGCCAGACAGCACAGCTGGGCCCTGGACATCCTTTGTATTACACTGCAGATTAACAATACCACCTTATTTAGGACATGCCAATAATGGGATTGGACAATAGAGTATCATGAAGACACTGAAGATGTCATCCTCAGGCGCCATTCTTCAGTAGCTGAGCCCTGATTGGCTGCTGGTGCTGTTCCACTTACTCCCAGTGTAAGTGCTGCTGTGCAGGGGCTTTCAGGAGGCTGATAAGACTGGTTCAGGTACTCATGTAGTTCTATGCTATAATACGTTTTTAATGATTTTCCTAAATACATAACAGGATCATAATAAATCCCTGAACTGTGTTTGTCCATCCAGGCTTAAGCAGCAGCCCCACCAGCAGCACATACTCCCTTTGCTCCCTCGTCCCTTTATCCAGCTGTTGGACAAGAAAAAAAAAAATATCCAGCACTTTTGGATATGGGTCAGCATGTGACTTACTCCCTTCACTTTAAAGCAAAAAATTTCACCCAAAAGGGGAAGTTCTGCTTTTCTGCCTCCTCCTCCTCCCCTCCCCTCTAACTTTTGGCACATTCATTTTTTTTGAGGAAGAAGCAGGTACCTAGTTTTTATAGGTATCTGCCTAGGCGATCAGAACAAAAGTTCGGCCCCTCCATTTCTGCCTGCAGCCTCTTGGGACATATCACTGGTCCCAGGAGGCTGCGGGACCATTCACAAAGTGCAGCTTGGCTCCTGCATGCGCAGTGGGAAGATGGCTGTGAAGCCACAAAGAGTCACAGCCGCCTTCCCACACTAAAGATGCCAGGGGACCCAAAGACCGGTGAAGATCCGGCCTGGGTGAGGGCAGCACTGGATCCCTGGACAGGTAAGTGTTCTTTTATTAAAAGACAGCAGCTACAGTATTTGTAGCTACAGATTTTTAATTGTTTTTGTACCTAGGGTGAAGATCCTCTTTAAGGCTGAACGCCAACCAGTGTTTAATTTAGTTGAAAAAGAACTCCCTCCAATCCAGTTATGTATTCATTAAAATCATGAAATGTATTTTTATATATAAATAGAATAAGTATTGGAATCTGCTCTTATTGGCCTACTGTAAGCCCCCACACAGTAGCCTTTGGAGTAGATGAGGGGGGGCTGGCTCTGGTCTGGCCCAAATGTTCTATATCACACCTGCATGTTATGATTCTTTCTAGGAAATGCCTTAGGTACCTTTTTCCGTCAGTAAAATTCCTGCTTCCTGCCCTCTCCCTCCAGTGCTCTGTGTTGGCACAGCTACTAACAGCCACAGCCTTCATTACAAACAGAGAGGGGCATGTTTGACCATGGAGGTAGGTAGCGTGTCCTCTGGTGCCTATTGGCTTGCATATGTATATATTGGGCACCCTGCACAACTGCTGTAAGCGGAGGTAGGACAATTAATGGTAGAGGATGTTGGTACAGTATTTCTGAGACTTTAGTGTGTTATGAATTGTATTTCAATCACCTGATAGACTCTTGTTCTGTGACACAGATGACAAGGCCCCAGTGACGGACACCAACATCCCTTCTCACCTGGAGCAAATGCTGGACATTCTGGTGCAGGAGGAGAATGAGCGGGAATCAGGGGAGACCGGGCCATGCATGGAGTATTTATTACATCACAAAGTCCTGGAGACCCTCTACACCCTAGGCAAAGCCGACGTGAGTGTGATTCAGAATATTCTACCTGTGCAGTCTGCTCTGTGCATGGGGGGTCTGTAGGTATCTCACAGCTTATTTTTGTGAAATAACAGAAAATGTGCAGCACAGGTTCCCTTTGGTGATCTGCTCACAACCAACTACAGAATGACTTTTCTGTGCTCTGGTGTGATGCAGACTATTGCAAGTAATTCACTACAGACACACCAAAACTCCCTTCTGCTTTATTTTTTCTCTGTCACCATTGAGGGTTTTCACTCATTGCTTGTCATTGGCCAGGAAATTAGTGGAGATCTAGCCCAGGAGGGTGGTATTGAAATGTGCTAAAGGTTCTGGCCCTTCCTGACCAGCTCCAGCCTTCCCTTCAGTCTTGCACAGTTGTACTGGCTCCTCCTGGACTGAAATTACTTAAAGCGGAGCTTCACCCAAAAGGGGAAGCTCCTCTTTAAAGATTGGTCCACCGTTCCCCATTAAGGATTGGCACCTTTGAGGAGCGGGTACCCCAATTTGACAGATATCCGCTCCCACTTTCCGCTGCGATCGGGAGCAGAAGTTGTCCTCCTACCCTTCCTCCCCGTATTCTTCTTGGACATGTGACAGGTCCCCGAAGACTACGGGGCCACAGCCGGGTGTCCACACTGAAGATGCTGTTGCCTGGAAAACCAGATGGCTGGTGAAACAGGCTGCGGGGAGGACACCGCGGGATTGTGGGACAGGTAAGTGGCTGTTTTTTAAATGTCAGCAGCTACAGTTGTTGCAGCTGCTGACTTTTATTTTTTTACAGTGTGAGTGGAACTCCGCTTTAATCTGATTTCACTGCACACCATGAACTTCTCATAATGTGCATTAGAAGCTGCAGCAAGTCAGATGGAGCCCACCTCATTTCCTGGTTGGATGACAACCCACATCATATAGCCGTTTGCTCCCAGCATGTCTGTCTCATTCATTGAATTTCAGCTCCTTCAATCGTGGAGGCTGAGCATCACATGTGGGAGTTACCCAGGGTGGTCCGTATGCAAATGCAGCCTGCCTTGAAACACCCACACCTCCATAGTGACATCCACCCGTCAAGGCATTTTGAAATTTGCATGACTCCTACTGCTTTCATCAGGGTTTGAGGGCACTTTATAGAAACACTGAGGCAGGGTGTTGTGATGTTTTCAGGAAGCTACGTACAGCCCCTCCCATTAGCCATGACATAATAGTTGCATAGAGTAGCTCAGAGAACCAGTGATGATGTCACTGGGTCTAAAATAAGGATCACAATGAAACGGGTAAGGTTTTATTTAAGTTAAAAAACAAATTGCACATATCCTTTTGTCTCCTTTGTCTTGACCTAACCAAACTCATCTTCCCCCACTGCAGATGCATACTCCCGCAATCCTATGGCTGTGGCCTCAAGGGTTTGTTTACATCCTGGCCACACCTGCACTTTATAGCCTCATAGACCTCTATAGGGTCCTCTCCTCCTTTTGTCTCCGACCTCCAGACAAAACCCTATAGAAGTCTAAGGAGCTGTAAAATCTAGGCGTGACCAGGATATAAGCCAAAACAAGAGGCCATTCCAGTCAATGAGTGACTGATAAACCCACATGTTTTTATGGGGATAGCATGGGTGATTGCTTTGATTATGTGAAAAAAATCGGTATACAGAGTGCTGTGTGCAAAATAAGAGAGGTGATTGCTAAAGCTACTATTATTTGCAAAGATGGTGGTTACTTTTTGAGCTTAAGAATCTAAGTGAATAGTGATGAATGAAGGATAAGGAGGGGTGATCGCTAAAACTACAATTGTTCTGTGTATGTGCATTCCAGTCAGATTGGGATAAGTATTTATCTGTGGAGGGGGGGGGGGACTGTTAGGTAAGGTCAGGACAATGGGCAAAGAGTATATTCAGTTTTTCTCATGTTCAGTATTTTGATTAGAAAACATTAGAATTACAGTACATTTTTAGAAAATGAAACTTTAAGCATTGCAGGACTGCTTTCAGATTTTACGTGTAAACTAAAAAATGCTCCGTCATCCAAAAAGTAATAAGTACATAACAATATCTTTTATTAGCCAATATGCTGACATTTAAAAAATGGAACATACTTAGCAGCAGTGTTTCCAGGAATTCTAAATATTCATCTCTATAACATTTGACTGAAAATAAAGGAAGAAATTAAGCATAGAAAAGGAGTGTGGAAACAGGAATGTAAGACCTGGAAGCCTCAATAAGTTAATAAAGTAGACTTCTACTGTAGAAATTGTGTTGGCACGTTGCTGAGGGGGCAAGCAGGAAGGCCAAATATAAGCAGATTAGGCTTTAGGTTTAAGTAGTAAGGCTACGGTAAGGACAATGGCTTCAGAGCCTACGGCTCTCAAATCCATCAATGGCCACTCTGCTATTCCTGTCTTGGCCAAATCCATTTGCAATTTCTCATCTTTTTCCGTTTTCAGAACAGAGTTCAGTCCTGTCTGCACTTTTCACAGGAAACATTTGCACATTAATCAGATCAGTTTTGGGCCATGTGCTAGGTTAAACCCCATATACACAGGCTGAATATCTGCTGATATCAGCCTGTTCAACAGAAACCAGACGACATTTGACCCGTGTGTACACCAGCTGTCTGACAGAAGCCGGCCGAATGGGCATGCTGGAAATCCAGCATCTAATTGGCATCCAGTCAGTGCTAGCAGCCAATGGCTGCCAGTGCTGACCGGTGTGTTCTGGCAGGGGTGAGGGGCATCACCCCTGTCAGGGCACAATAGCTCAGTGTGGAGATTGTCAGATCTCTTCATTTTTTTTTCGTTCTGCCCGCTAGGTTGAATGAAGAAAAAAACTGATAGGTGTGTACCAGGCATAAGACTGAGCACAGACATCAGAGGACAATTGATGTGTAGTACAATCCTGAAGGGCCAGCTTTAGTCATAATGGGAATATTTGCATCAAATTTGAGTTTCTTACAAGGTGGGAGGTAAAAGGTTGTAGACAAGCCTAGTACACACTATGAGAGAATCAGACGGCCGACCGTCTGATTTTTCCACGAAAGTGCATATCATGATGTTATCAGAATGGTATTGAGGGTAGGGTTGTTCTTTGCTTCTGATCATGCATTTTTTTTTTTTTGTTTTTTATTCGATTATTTCCGTTTGAGCACTGTGCACATTACTGAACATCAGTTGTTGTGTTCATGTACAATAAACATTTTCTAACTTGCACCCTTGTTTTTTGTTGTGCAAAAAAGTCGGAATCGGCTGTCGAAAGTACTATACTAATGATCAGATAACCAGCCGATCGTTCCTCGTATGAAAATTTTAGTACGATTTTCCTATCGTGTACAGGCCATAAAAAGGTAATAGCAGCGATCTCTACTAGTCACATGTAACATTTCCCTAGTCTCTCACTGTCCTAGGCAGTGTGTCACCAGTCTCCAACCAAACTTGTAGCAGTTCCGCAGTCTCTGACCATCTAGTCTAGGTGTGTCTGCACTTTCCTCTCAGTCCTCTCTAGCATTACATATACTGAGCATTATTTTTAGCCCTTGGGTGATATCAGGGGCCACACCTGAGGTCCCCTATACTATGTAAGTTGACAACAACTGCAGTAGATTGGATACGGTTGTCTAACATGTCCTAGGTATTTCCTGACATATTTCGGCCGGGTGTGCCTGAAAGGTGCCTGTAGACATGAGAATGTCACCCGATCAAACCAGAATCTGCCTGCTGGAGGAATCATCTCATATCTCCTCCATACTTGCATTTCCAGTCACCAAATCCATTTGAGCAGCAGAAAAGTTTGCAGCATATCAGAAAAATTTAGCAATTTCGGATTGTTTTAGAATAGAGGAATATTTTTTTGTAACGTATACGCAAAGATTATACTGACAGTTAGATGAGTTATCAGCACTGGTGCAGAAATGCTCTTTATTGTGACAGGAAAGTCTGTAATCATTACAGTGTCTGTCGGATTGTTATCAGATATTGCATCGAACTACAACAAACATTACTTTGCGCTTAGAGAAAGAGATGCTTGTGTTGCTTGGAACTGATTGAATCAGTTAAAAAAAAAAACAAAAAACACAGATTTCATTTCCTGAATGTTAAGTGATAACAGTGATTTCCTTTCATTGTACAGAGTAAGCAGAAAATAAAACAATGCGGAATCAAAGATAAGAAATTCTCATATCGTACTTTGTATGTTTTTGTTTTGTGTAACGTGCCGCTTTCTTCTGCTAGTGTCCACCGGGCATGAAACAGCAAGTCCTAATGTTCTACACTAAGCTCCTCGGGAGGATTAAACAACCTCTGCTGCCGCATATTAATGTCCACCGACCAGTACAGGTACATCCAGCAACTCCCAACACCTCGGTTTGTCCATGTACTTGACACCACAGAGTCAATCACATCAGTTTGCACCAGAAAAGTTTACACTCTAATGTCCCCACCATGGTTACACACAAATAATATTATACATGTATATAGCTCTGACATATACTGCAGTGCTGTACAGTGAACACTGAGCCAGTCACATCAGTCTCTGCACCAGAGGAGCTTACATTCTAGTGCCCCACCACAAACAATCATTTTTATAATACATTTATATATCTCTGACATATTCTGCAGTGCTGTACAAAGAATCCTGAACCGTTCACATCAGTATCTGCACCAGATTAGCTTACACTTTAAAGCGTACTACCACAGTCACACACTATTTTTATAATTTTTATAGCTCTTATACATTCAACAGTGTTGTACAAAGAACATTGAGCCAGTCACATCTCTGCACCAGAGGAGCTTACACTCTAATGTCCCACCACAGTCACACACTATTTATATAGCTCTGACGTATTCCACTGTGCTGTACAGAAAACGTACACTCCACACAACTTTTATCTGTTTGTCACCATATTAATCCTGCACCTGTTTAGACTTTGACATCTGGTATATTTTCTGTCCGTAGAAGTTGATTCGTCTGTGCGGAGAAGTGTTGGCCAATCCAACTGAGAATGAAGAGATCCAGTTCTTGTGTATTGTATGCGCCAAACTAAAACAAGATCCATATCTAGTCAACTTCTTCTTGGAGGTCAGTTCCTGTGTCCCTGTGCCAAACTTTTTATAAATTTGTTGAACTATGAACTGCCTGAAGTACAGAGAATGGTTCATCAGCATATTTATGTTCGTGTCAGGGGTGGACTGACAACTCATGGGGCCCCTGTGTCCTTGCCCAAACTCAAAAAAGCCTATGAAAAAGGTAACGGGCATCTCATGGGGCCCCCTACTGACCCCGGGCCCTCGGGCAGTGCCCGAGTTTCCAAATGGTCAGTCCGCCCCTGGTTAGTGTAGAATGCACAAGGTCCAGTAATATCTCAGCAGGAACGTGACAGATGCATAATTGTTGTTGCTCTCCTCTATTTTAACAGTCACGTGACTGCTCTGACCCCATTTTACCTCGGGTAGCAATGACTTGGGCATGCTTTCTTAGGTTCCACCATGTCATTTCCTCTTCAGCTCTCTTTTCTTTCAAGATCTAAGTGAACCTGAGAGCAGGGGAGCTGCTGCAAATACTGCCAATCAGTGTCCACATTTCCTACAGGGTGACAACACCTGTACATAATATGGAAGGTTGCCTTACTGGGTCTCCTTTGGGCCCTGGCATGCATAGCCACCCATACATCCATACATACATACTCCCAGCCGGGATTACAGCTGCACAAGAAGCCACACAGAGCCAGCGCAGCTAAATGTGTGCTGAGGGTGCTTAATCCCGCAGCCCAACCCTGTCTTTGCCCACACAGCTAAAGGATTACTTAATCTCATAAATTATTGTCTATGCTGCCAGCTCAGCCCCTTTCTCTTCCCTTGGAAGAACCTTTGAAGCAGCCCCTGCACCCGGCCTATACTATGAACTGGGCTGTACATCTCAAAGCATTAAGATAGCAGGTTCAGCCAGTGGACATGTAGCTGTTTCCGCTCTCCTTCGCTGAAAGTGTTGCAACCAGTTAGTGGGGGTGGGTTAATATTTGCCAAGAGATGGGCTTTAAATTAATCTACATAGCCAATGCATTTCGGGGGAAGGGCTTACCATTTCTTAAAGTAGAGCTATAGGTAAAACTTTATTTTTTTCCATTTTGGATAGCAAAGGGGAGGATTAGAACACCTTTCAATTGTTTTTTTTTTTTTCTTTTGCAATCTGTGCCCTGTTGGGGAGACTTATCTTCACTTCCTGTCCCATAGCCGGAACAGGAAGTGAGGTAATCCCTGCAAGTTAGAAGATTTCCCTTCTATTATTTTTCTGGGGACAACCCAAAATTTGTGATTTCTTTTCTTTTTTTTTTTCAATTTTAAGGGAGAGTACTTTTAGTAAACAAGACAAATAGAGAGGGTGAATCACCCTAATGGGAACAGGGACAGCAATACAAACCTAATATGTGTTCTAATCCCTCTCCATTCTGTCCAAAACTAAAATAAAAAAAGTTTTGCTTTTAGTTATACTTTAAAATATTTTTAGTTTTGGATAGAATGGAGAGGGATTAGAACGCCTGTCAGATTTTTATTGCTGTCTGTGCCCCGTTTGAGAGCTTCGTCCTCTCTATTTTTTCTGTTTACCATTATCATTGAAAGTGAAAGGATAAGAAAATCCCAAATTTTGGGTTGTCCTTAGAAAAGTAATAGTGGAAATATCTTCCAATGGGGACATACAGTGGGGCAGGGACAGAGGAGCCTCTTAAAGAAGAAGGTACAGGTCTGTGAGAGCCAGAAATCTTGCTTGTTTGTAGGTGACCAAATACTTATTTTCCACCATAATTTGCAAATAAATTCTTTCCAAATCAGCCAATGTGATTGTCTGGATTTTTTTTTCTCATTTTATCTCTCATAGTTGAGATCTACCTATGATGCCAATTACAGGCCTCTCTCATCTTTGTAAGTGGGAGAACTTGCACAATTGGTGGCTGACTAAATACTTTTTTGCCCCACTGTACGTTCTGGTGACCTGGGGGTTCCCAAGGAATTCCTTTAATTTGCAGGGATTTCTTCCTACTTCATGTTTGGCTATGGGTAAAGGGAAATCCTGCAATGGGACACAGATGGCAAAGAAAAAAAAAATTTGATGGGTTATAATCCTCCCTTTCTCCATCCAAAATAATAATTTAAAAAAAAAGCGTGTTTGCCTATAGCTCTACTTTTAAGGCTAACATTTAGAAGGCAATTAAAAATATAAAATATGACAGTTCAGCCCACCTTTGTGGCGTTGGTTGGATCTCAACCAAGGCCCTGAGCTATGGCTGGGGTGGGCCAATCAAATGCAAATAATTGGTGATTGGTTCTGCACAGAATTTGCTAGTAAGTTTGGGATGGAATGAGGCTATGGAACATAAAACTGAAGGTTAAAACTGAATTAAGGGAAAAAAGGTTGGGGGGGGGGGTTAGGGAGGTCTAGCTGGGGTAAGGTAAGGGACATGGTTAGCAAATGTGGGGGTAATCAGAGGGGAGAGGGAGGCAAACCAACTACCAAGCATTGTATGCTCTCCTAACCACACATCCGTTTATTTTGTTCTGAATGTTTTTCAGAATAAGGTGAAGCCCCTTCCAACAGTTGGATCCTCAAACAGCCTCGGAGGACTTGGGGGCAATGTGGAAGTACCTGCTAATGACACAGGGCAGTCTCCTCCTCCGCCCGATCCCAGTGTTGGAGCAGAGGCAGATGGGACTCTGAATGTATCCGGAGCTAATGCCAGTGGTAGCTCTACAGATGATGGGGCTGACAGCGGAGTATCGGCCAATCATGTACAGCAGGACTATAACCTGGTGAATTCCTTACTTAACCTGACCAAGAGCCCGGTGAGTGACAAAACCCACTGAGAGTATTTCCAGAGCCATGGAGGACATGGTGTTTATATGATGTGTGCTCTCATCCTTCAGGATGGCCGGATTGCAGTGAAAGCCTGTGAGGGCCTTATGTTACTAGTGAGCCTGCCTGAACCGGCTGCCGCCAAGTGCCTTACACAGAACACCAGTTTATGTGAACTGCTCACCGACCGGTTGACTTCCCTGTACCGCGCTCTGCCACAGTCTATTGACCCACTGGATATCGAGACTGTGGAGGGGATTAACTGGGGGTAAAAATCTGCTTTTCACTACTGTTATATTTTGGCAGATCATTGTCTTTTTCCATTTCTCCTGCAACTATCTTTTTATAAGGGAGCCTTCTTGTCAGGATATTAACCCAGGGTTTCCACTCTGCCTGGCAGTGGCTCTTCCTACTAAACCGCCTAAAGATCTGGATAGCTCTTGTCTAATCTCTTGTCTTCACTGATACCCAATTTCTTGCTGAACCCTGAAATCCTTATGTAAACCATGCCTCTGTGTTTCCTGTCTGCCAAATCATTCTGTCACAGTGCGGGATCAGCCTCTGAGTTAAGTACCTGAAACAGCAGACAAGTTCTTGGTTATACACAGCCAGGTTCGGTACACAAGTAGCTGTAGCACTATGTGAGCAAGGCAGAAGTGTAGTCAGACATCAAGCCAAAGCTGGTAGCCAGAGGTATCGGATTTGAAGTAGAGAACATTGAAAAGTAATCAGTAATGGATCAGCCAAGGTTCAGAAATTGCCTAATGGTAAATAAAAATGCAGTGTACCAATAGCAACAAAGAACAAGATACTGACATAAGCACAATAATCTGGCACACGAGACTGGCAAAGGCATGCCTTAAATAATTCAGAGTTCAGGTAACAAAGTATGCAAGAGTTTCAGATGGGTAAAAAGGAAGAGCCGCTGCCTGGCGCAGCAGAAACCCTGGGCTTGGATCCTGGCACTCCCTCTCTCCTCCATCATGCATTGGTATGTAACACATCCCATCTTCCTACAAATCCTGTGTGTGTGTCCATATATATATATATATATATATATATATATATATTAAAAGGTTATATTAAGAAACAAACTTCTGGGTCTAAGCTGCACACACTGCAGAAAGAAAACTTCAACAAGGTAATATGTAATTGTATCGAAGCTCCAAACAATTCTCACTGATCACTTTTATTTGTAACTTGTGAAAAGAAAGATTTCCACCACGTCAACTTGCAGTCTAGCTCTCTTTTGCTATGAAACACAAAAGAGAGAACTGCACACCAGCCTAGAGTAATAGCATTGATCCAGATGAAAAAAAAAAAAAAAAAAGCTTAAGTAAGTATAAAACTTTTCACACAGGGCATATAGGCAGAAGTGTCTGACTTTTGATGCAGCTGCTCATGGCCATTAGCTTTGGAAATAGGCAGGGTAGGGGTCTCCAGGTGCTTTGTGATAGACACCTCTCATGCACTTATGCTGGCTATCTTTGTGGTGGAAGTTGTCAGAAGGCCTCTCCCACCCCATTGTACATCAGGGCAACAGTCGCAGTCGACATGTTTTGGAGACATCCCCATTAACCTCAGATTCCCCTCAGAAGAATCTGAGGTTAAGATTCTCAGACGTAGCAGGCGTATGAGCCAATTTATGTCATTCTGATTTCTTGTATCAGCATGATTTTTGTTAGCACATTAGCCCTGCAGCACAAAAGATTGACTCCATACTTGCACTGATAATTGGGGGGGAGGGAGGTGGTGTGAGCTAACGGATCCAGAAATTAGAAGGTCGGTCCCATTGGAGCACAGATTCACTTGCTGCACGGAGCACTGTGGATGTGATTCCTGCTGGGTATCTCTGTTGTGGATGGTGCAGGTCCACATTTAAAATTCTTTACTCCCGCAGGATAGTTTCCATGCAAACTGCGGTGATCAGCTCAGTTGGTGGTTGGCTGTTTCTGCAACAGGTTTAAATATTGTGTACACTGACCATTCTTTTCTGTCCCCTCCCCAGTCTAGACTCATACAGTGTTAAGGAAGATGCTTCGGCCTTTCCAGGGAAAAGAGCGCTCATCTCATTCTTGTCCTGGTTCGACTATTGTGACCAGCTCATTAAAGAAGCTCAGAGGGTGAGAGAAGACGTCATTCTATGATATGTATTGGAAACAATTTCTTATTAATACCCTTTATCCAACCTTACTTAGCAAGGAGGCTTCCAGCAACCAGTCAGAGTTGGCTTTTCACTGATTGATACAGACGAGTCGGTTACACACGTAAATTAATTTATATATGTGCTGTGAATGGAGGCAGGTGTGTGGCTTCACAGATTTGCAGCTCTTCATCAGAAATTTTATAAAGCATCGCCATGTACCAGCCAGCAAGCTAGTGAAAGCAGTAAGTGGGAAGAATAATGCTGATTTTTAGGAAATATTTTCAAACAAATCCAGGGAAGTAGATAAAAATCTGAACAGTAAAATGAGGTTTTCTATGTTTTGAATTATCAAAACCTGACAGTAAAGCTGGTAAATTTTTGTTCTTGTGTTTAGATAAACTTTAATTTTACTTTTGAGTGTACTTGAGTGAGCTTAGTATGTTTGTCACTTTTCAAGAAATGTCTCTTTTGTCTCCTTTAAGATGGCAGCTGCCACAATGGCCAGATCTGTGCGGGAGAGATTCTTGATTGGTGTGATAGAGCCGCAGTTGATGCAGACGTGAGTGTTGATTCTTATTTGCAGTTCATTTTCTTTCAGCTCCCTGTACAGTGATTAATCAAAGCCTGTCATCTCCATCCTTCCCTTCTCGCAGGTCGGAGATTGGCATTCTAACAGCCACGTCGCTCCTGCACAGGATAGTGCGACAGGTCACATCTGATGCCCTTCTAGAACAGATTGTCTGTTTTCTGCTGGGCGAGGATCGAGATCCTGAGACACTGAGCAGGATTCAAAAAATTCCACTCCGCCATCGTCTGATAGAACACTGCAACCATATCTCCGAGTCGACGAGGTGAGAGCAATCCTTCCTCTCCTGGATGATCGGTTTCCATGTTAGATGCTGATGGTCTTTTTTTAGTGGGTCAGTTTTTTGTTTTTTAAGGGGTAATTTTGGTAGTACTAGGTATACAAAACAAACAAAGGCACAAATACACAGAATCATGTGCATGGTAAATGAAGATAATACATCCTCAAGTCACAGTACATTGTATTAAGTTACATTTTGTGAGTCAGTGTCCACAACTTATGTGGCCAGAACAGGTGGTTCGCCTTCTATTTCCAACAAAGATAAAGGGAAAGTGTGGGGCGGGGGGGCATAAAGTGGTGAAAATTCAGACATGTAAGATATCATAAGCACATAGTAGCAATTTAAATGCTCAGTATGAAGGCAATACTACACAATATATAAACTCCAATGGGTTCACAGTGAAAAACCATCATAACAAATGATACAAAAGCCTGCTCATCAATACAGTCAGTTATCAGCTCTAGGCACACATTGAATATATCACACCTCTACGGTAGTGGACATTGTTGACCTTCACCCTGACCAAATTTTGTCAAATTTCTTCAGACAGCCTCTAAAGGAATATGTAATTTTATATAGAGGCAAAGCCTCATTTATAAGATCTATCCAAAATTGGATGGTGAGAGGGTCTACCTTTTTCCATTTCAAAGACCAAGCTTTTTTTTTTTAGCATAAAAGAATAGAAAACGGAATAATATCTTCTGTAAACCATACAGCTCCTCCTAAAAGAAAAAACAACTAAAAGTCAGTGGATTGGGGTAAAAATAATTGGAAGCGACAACTTCTCCATAAACCTGGTAATATCCAACCAAAGCAATAAAGTTAAAATGAATCTGCGCTAAGTCACTTTGCACTAATAAAATACTAAGCAGCCACTTGTGCAACTGTATTACCAGTCATTGACATAAATAAAAAAAAAGCAGTGCTAATGCGAACCAAATAATCATTAACTCTAATAAATCTTGTACACACATTGTGAAGTCGGCAGTGCATTCTGAAGCACGTTCACATATGATTGGACTGAATTCACATGCATTTCGAAGAACTGTGTTTTATGTACTTTATTTTTCTGGATCCATGGTCATATCGACTATATATGCACTTTACGTACATTTTACTTTCTTTTCACATTTGCATTTTTTTTTTTATATGTTCACTATTACATTTGATGATTTATTGGAGTTTATGATTACTTGGTTCATATTAGTGCTGCTTTTTTTATTTTATTTAATATCTGACCAAAACTGTCTTAACTCCCATATGAAAAAAATTCCCAGAGTCGTAATGCATTTCTGGGGATAGCTGAAATAACTTCTGAAATCTAGTTTTCAATAACATCCTCCCAAATATCATCAACCATTGAGGGAATATCAGTTTTCCACTGGGCCTTTATTTTCTTCATCTTTGAGGACAAGGATAATTGAGCCAAATAGGAAAGGTCAGTCTTATTTTTAATCCCTTCCCATCCAGTGTACGGATAAATATTGTACAGGATCCTGGTACCATTTTTTTTTTTTTTTGGTGCCAGCGATATACAGCTGCCCAATTAGTTTTAGAGGGCTAGGAAGCCCCCCAACCCACCCACTTGTTTGGTATTTGTTGTTTTGGGTTACCTATGAACAAACATGCTTAAAGTGTTTGCATTTCTCTTGTCACTGATACCCCTGAAAAAGAGGACCCTGCAAAGCCTCCTAACAATGGAACGGTAAATTGACCTTTACGATATATATTTATAATAAATCATAGAAAGGCATCCTGGGAGTGCTGGGGACTTCTCAATCCTTATCTGCGGATGCACACAGTTCTGTTTTTGTTGTATTATATTTTCTAGTATATATCACCCCAGGATCTCTCTTCCCTGCAGATCAGTATTATGACACTTCGACTGTTTGAGCACCTTCTACAGAAACCCAATGAGCACATCCTCTATAACCTGGTCCTTCGGAATCTGGAAGAGCGAAACTATACAGAGTACAAACCTCCCTGTCCAGAAGACAAAGACATCGTAGAGAATGGGCAGATAGCTGGTGCTGTGTATGTCACTATCACATCATGGTATAGCTTCAGGGGTCCTCTCTGGGGTTTGAGGGTATAAATTATACATTCTTTTTCCTGTTAAATGAGCCTGTGCCTTGACTTCACAGGGAAATGCAACAAGTACATTTAAAAGAGAAGTGTGGGTTTTGTTTTGTTTTTCCAAATTTTACTTACTAGGTGGATCTGATGCTGCATCTTTCCCCTGCCGGGTCTAAGTGTGAGAACTCGGCGATCACATGATCACTGAGTTCTCAGTGCTGTGAGCAGAGAGCGGTGTCTGCTCTAACCCCCCCCCCCCTCCCCCCCCTCCCCCAGGCTCAGTGGAGTTCTAGGCTGTGGAGGGGGAGGTAACTGCTGGCTTAGGCTCTCAGAAAATCACTGAGAGGCTCAGCCAGGTGCCGCTCCAGACTCTGAGGTGGATCCCGACTTTAAAGTCGAGATCTTTTTCCAGAGCCTGGACAGACTGAGTGACGTCAGCCAACAGCAGGCTTCAGCCTCCTGTCAGCTGAACACAGGTCACAGTTGTGCAGAACGAACTGCACTCCTGTGATCCACAGGAGAAGTACAGACAAAAGCGCTTTGGCTGTACTTCTTTAAATGCTGGTGCCCACATTAATATATGCTTACTTTGTCACCACTCTCTCTATGTGGTATTCATGTCTCGCTGTTCAGAGCTTCTGCAAGGCAGAAGAGTCTCCCTCTGACCCCATGTGACAGGGCTCAGGCCTGTCTATTAGTCACTAAGGCATCCAGTGCTGTATTGTGGTAGAGATGGGAAAGAGTCAATTGCCCCCAATACCCGAAAATATCAAGTATTTCTCTTCTCTTGTAGTGGAATTGATTGTATCTTTCTTCATGGTTGCAGAGATTTGGAAGAAGACCCAATTTTTACCGATATGTCCCCTGAAAATACGCTGTCCAAGGAGTGGCTGAGCTCATCACCTCCTGTCACCCCTGACCACCAGAAGAATGATGGGAAGACAGAGGTGCACAAGATTGTCAATAGGTGAGCCCTCCATCATCATCTAAATCATTCCCCCTTCAGCACTAGATTGAAGTGATCATAAACATATGCAGAAACAGATGCCACTATTGGACTGGCCAGCTTCCACATTTGCTCCTGTTCATCAACCCTTGTACTTGCCTAGCTTCATTTTCCACTACAATGCATAACCATGAGCTTTATGACTAAGCGCTTTAGTGCAAGAGGCATTAAGGATTTTTTTTATTCCGCTGTAATGTTCTGAATTAAATATAATATAGTGCCCTGTCCTATTAGTAGGCAATGTATGTGCATTGAAATAAGGACATACATACATGTTAGTAAGGATAACACACAATACGCTTTCCAATTCTTTTGTGAGCACCAGCTCTGACTGTTGTTTACAACATCCTCTGCATGCAGTCTGCTTAGGAGTCCTTGTGAGTCCATTTAGCATTCTGCCATTTCACCCAGCCCTAATGAAGGGGGGTTGTGTGCCCCCTAAAATGCATTGGGATTCCTTTGCTGTGTTGTTTGTAACCAGATGAACAATAAAGAGTTTGGACCCCTAAGGATTTTTTATGTTTTGCTCTCTTTGACCTATCATGCATAGCCTTCCCATGTGGCAGTTCTGTCAGACCCAGTGCTGTTGGTGAGTCACATTTTCCTTTATGGGTGGTGAGGATGGACTGAGCCTGAAGTAGGGCTTTAAGTTGAATGGGTAGTTTGGCTCATGGTTTCCTCATATGGCTGCTTTTTCTTTAATGTATTTAATTAGCAGTTTACAGTTTGGATGACCCTGGAAAATTTCTTCTTTGTGTTCTGCAGTTTTCTCTGTCTGGTCCCTGATGAAGCCAAGTCCTCTTACCATGTAGAGGGCACTGGCTATGACACTTACCTCAGGGACGCACACAGACAGGTAGGTTGGGACTCCTCTCATTATCTTACAACGACCAACATCACCATCTTTTTATAAACCCATTGAAGACAGTGTGATAACATTTCTCATTATTTCTCTGTTCAGTTCCGGGATTACTGTGCAATATGCCTGCGCTGGGATTGGCCTGGCTCAGCGAAGGCCATTGAAAAGTGCAATTTAGAGGCTCCATTCTTCGAGGGACATTTCCTGAAAGTCTTGTTTGACAGAATGGGCAGGATACTAGACCAGGTACAATCCCATTCCACTGTGAAAGTTCTCAAAAGATGAATCTGATTTTGACAGAGAAGATTAGTATAATACAATGGCCATAAATTTACACATCCAGTGTAACAATAAGATCCTGGGGTGATCCAATACCAGGTTACATGATCCAACTGCCAAACCTGGAGCTGGAGTGCTGATATCAGCGGAATTTTCAGTGATTCAGTGACTCTCCTGATATCAACCCACACTGCTGCTGGTCTTGTTCCTAATCCCGGGTTTAGGTTACAAAGCCACAATCAGAGTGACATGGTATCTGTTCATTACAGCTATCAAGTATGAACTTTCTGGTACCCCACCTGATTGTTAAAAGTGCACCTAAATTTTGAGTTTAATTCTGCTTTAAAGATGCTTTGTTACCAAAGTGATACTAAGTGCTGCAGGTATGAATTGCAGGAACATTGAGGGGCACATGCCTACATCATATTCTCCAACATTCCAGTCACTTCCGAATTCCAGCCTGTTCTGCTAGGCAAAGCTTCAACACTTTCAGATAGTGCTTGCTGCTAAGCGCTGCCCCATTATTTTCCTATTAGCCCATCACCATGATAAGCGGCCCCATTGTTCAATAGGAATGTGTAAGAGGCAGGAACTAGTGGACAGACTTTGGCACAATCAGAAAGTACCGAAGCGTTACCAGTCAGAACAGCCAGGCATTTGGCCATGACAGGAAGGTGTGGGTTCCTGCTAGTGGTGGTCAGGGCACGAGCTGCAGAAAGAGAAGATGTAAACAGACTGCTTCCAGGGTAGGGGTCCTGTGTCTGAAACTTCTGTTTATTAGCAAGCCTGGTGCCTTTTGCATTTGACTGTTTAAGCAAGATTACTGGACTAGAAAGAATAAGTACTGAAAGTGCATTTGTTTGCTAAAGAAACACTGTCAGTTCCTAAGTAGTGTAAAGTGACCGTGTTCGTGTAAGTGGGCCAGCCTGAACCCACTGATGCTCACGTTTGCAGGAATTCCTTGCCGATTCTTCCTCTGCCAGGGCAGAATACCTGATACTTCCAGGTACAGGGGAAAATGTGACTTCCTCCCATGTGTGATTGCCCAATAGGCCCAAGCACTTGACATGTGACAAAGTGGGTGAGGTCATCGCCTTTCAGCTCCGTCACCAGCCACCACCTGGTGACAGAGGAAGGAATGCCTTGGGAGCACTGGAAAGGTGAGTTTCATTGGGTTGGGGTATATAAAAAGTTCATGAACAAAAACTTCAGTTCTAAAATTCTTTATTAATTACCAGAATGAGTTGCCAAAAAAGATTTTTCTGGGGTGTTATTCGTTGTAAACCAAATATGAATAATTGTGGTGTGAAAATTGCTCATACTGGATTTAAAAATAAGATTTGTCCTGAATGATATACCCCATGATAGAGTGATTTATAAATAAGTCCTTTGTCTGGGAAAAACCCTGATCCTCTCTCTACACTGCCACCCAAATCTAAATAAATCTAAAAGCTCACATGTGACATAAGAGCAAACTCAAGGCTGGGTGTTTTTCATATATTTGTTTTCAGTTTGTTAGATCATCCGTGTAAGAAAAATGAAGATATACAACAGAGAGAGAAAATATTGTACATTCTCATAAATCATCTATCACCAGCTGATTCCAAGAGATGAGATATAAGATCATTTACAGATAGGTTAAGGTCCCACATACCTTTCACAGAATGAACCCACAGATCCCAGAAGTGTGCTGGCATTGCAGAACAGAGCCTGGAACCATATTATACATATTTTGGTCCTGTTCCAAACTTACATCCTTTTGGAAGGATGGGATCTCCACGATTAAACAGCTTACCCAGGTGGACCTATGACAAAAATTGGCTGCATGCCTTCTCCATCTTATAGAGTGATCTTCCTCAAAATACAAAGCTTCCATTACCATCTATATGCTAAATGCAGAAAAAGCCTCTATACCCCCAAAAGTGCAAGCAATTCTCTCCACCTTCTAAATTCCTATGACATACCAACAAGATTCAGTATATAGAGGACTTGTCTTCCACTTTACACAACACCACACAGAAGAGAAGTTTAGGACAACCCGGAGACCCTGGGGATACTTTACGCCTATGGATAAATACTTCAAGGACATGTCCTGACATTCTACACCAATTCCTTGATATATACACTCTGATGTCTGATTGGTGTAGCTCATCCATACCGCAAATACCCTTTACCCCCAGGAGGTGTGTGAGGGGGGGGGGACCCTTCCCCCCACCACCTCCCTTTTTTTTTTTTTTTTTTTTTTTTTTTTTATCTCCTTCTCTTCCCATTTTCCCCATTAACGGTAATCCCTAAGTCATATAACGCCAACCCAACCAGGGTGTGCAAGCTGTCTTCTCACCTTAGCATAAAGTCCTTTCAGTTGATTTCTATTAACCAGCGAAGCTCACCTGTTATCCTCTAGATCTGAATGTCACTAGGTTTGGTATTCAGGACATTGTTTATACTATATCTCTTCATTTTATGGCATCCTTTAAAGTGCTTATAAAGTGCTGCTCATGGGCAGTTCCGACACTGACCACCACATTGCTTTTTTTTCTTTATTGTTTACTCGTACTATTGTTATTCATCTTCCAGAAAATTTATATCGGTGCTGATTGCCAACTTTACTATGTACTTGTTACTGTCTTTTTTAATTATTATTATTATCATTATACAGGATTTATATAGCGCCAACAGTTTGAGCAGCGCTTTACAATATAAGGGAGACAGTACAATTACAATACATTTCAGTACAGAAGGAATATGTATGTCAATCTTTGAGCAATGAAGGAAAAAAGAATTAGAAAAAATGAAGACATATGAAAGCTTCCATGTGGACTTGTTTGTGAAGTGCTGGTGCTGTCATGCTTATCCCTGCTTCACTTCCTACTAGATCACCTACCTGTAACAACATACACAAATACTGGGACCCTGCGTTTGTTTCAAGCTACTGACTCACTAAATAATGAAGCAAGGATGGAATGACTGCACCTTTTACAATCAAGTCCAAAGCAAGCCTGCTTGGTTATGTCTTTCCTCACAGTTAAAAGTTTAGGTCTGTCAAACCTGTAAAATAAAATATTTTAGTTTTTGGGTATTGATAACCTCCATTTTTGTTTATTTTCCTCCAGCCCTATGATGTGAATTTACAGGTTACTTCAGTGTTGTCCAAACTGTCCCTCTTCCCTCACCCTCACATCCATGAATTCTTGCTGGACCCCTACGTCAACCTGGCCCCTGGGTGCCGCTCCCTCTTCTCAGTCATTGTCAGGGTGAGTCCTGTCACCTATTGTGTGTGTGTTATACTGATATCAGCCTGGATTTCCTGCCTCTTTGGGTAGCCAGCCCTCTGATAGATGTTTGGTTAAGAGTTCCCATAGTATTTCAGGTTTAACATCGCCCACAAGCAGCTTTATTGTATTTCCAACATCAAATAAACAAATATAAGTAATAAATCGTAGCTTCTGCACAGTTCAAGTACCTATCCGGCTGTGTAATAGACCTTGCTGTAGGCCAATGCAAACTGTGTCTTTCTAAAGGATTCAGAAGCTATATAGAAAAATTGCTGCTGGCTTTCATTGCGGTTCTACTGTGCAGTTGAGTGGCAATTGGGGGGAAAAAAACAAAACTCAATTTCAAACAAATAGGAGAAAATAAAAATGTTTGTGGCACCAAAAACTTGCAAACACATTTGACAATTCCGAATTATTTTAATAAAATTGATACAAAAATTGATTCAAACAGTCAGTGTGTTTAGTTCAGAGCCATTAATGCTTTATGCTGGTCATAAACATATTTGTGGCAGCATGGTTGTGGGCGTTATGTCATGCTGATACATATATGCCTACTGCTGGTCAGGGGCGGACTGACCATTTGGAAACGCGGGCACTGCCCGAGGGCCCGGGGTCAGTAGGGGGCCCCATGAGATGCCCCTGGTACCTTTTCCATAGGCTTTTTTGAGTTTGGGCAAGGACACAGGGGCCCCATGATCCCCTATTGCCCGGGGGCCCCATGAGTTGTCAGTCCGTCCCTGCTGCTGGTATAGCAGTTTGCGCCAGGGGCAAGTTGAGTCACACAATGATCATGAGTTGGTGGGGCAGGCTGTTGATCGCTTGACCACTGTGACAGCCAGTTTCAGCCAGTCTGGAAGCCCAGGAAATGCCTTCTGAGTATAGATCTCATTACTGGGTAGGTGGAACTCAGTAGGATGGGGTTTATAGCGTCTAGTAGGATGGATCACAAATTGTTCACTGTTTCCAAAAATGTTACTCGTACCCCATCCTGCTGATTTGACATTTTGTTTCAGGATAGGAATTGGAAAGTGTAAAGCAACACTCTCCTCTTACTGACTTGTATATGTTTGAGGCCAACAGACTTATAATTAGCAAACCTTGTGTTGTCTTTTCTGTTCCTAGGTGGTGGGAGATCTGATGGTGAGAATCCAGCGGATCCCAGACTTCACCCCAAAACTCCTGCTTGTACGGAAGAGGTTACTGGGGTTAGAGCCAGACGGGCCGATGTAAGAAACACATATTCCATTTATAATCAAACAGTCAGATTCTGTGATATGGAAATGTCAGTAAGGTCTTGTTTACATTTGTATTGCTCTCTGAAGAGTGATCCTTGTTCTGTTCCCCCTCAGAGAGCATTTGGCAAGTGGTGAGGAGGCATTCTGTTCTTTTCTATGGCTATTTTAACCCCTTAAATAAACGGTTAATGTGGCACTACCAGCTGGATTGTGCACTTGAATGGGTTGTAGGCAGTGGTGCTCGTTGAATGCAACAGAGGGTGTAATTCCTGCCATGGCTGTAAAGCAAAGCATCACTGTCGTGGCATGTGAACACCCTCAGCTGCTGACTTTCCAGCTAAAGGGAGAGTGGATGAGGGGTGATAATTATGGTTTGACTGGATGTGTTCTGTTTGTTTACATAGAAGAGGTGTTGGCATTTTAGTATTGCTAATCATTAGAACCATTTCTGCAAGTGATATTGGTACTTTCTCTGCACCTGGGACCCACCACCCTGCTTAATTAATAGCAGTGATATCGTCAAAGAAATATATATTTCCATATTCATGGGTTTGGTTGAACTTTTAGCTGATATTTTCAGTACATCTTCCCCTGGCTTTCTCCCTCCCACTTTCTTCATGGTTTTCTCTCCCCCCTCCCCCCTCACTCACCCTTTCCCTCTCTCTCCCCATGTTCCTGTCTTCCCCTTACCTCTTCTCATTCTCTCCTCTCTTTCTCTCATTCTCTCATTTACTCACTCTTCTTATTTCAGAGTTGACCACATGACCCTGTTAGAAGGAGTGATTGTCCTGGAGGAGTTCTGTAAGGAGCTAGCTGCCATCGCATTTGTCAAGTATCACAGCTCTACCACCCCGTGATGTCTTCACCACCCTCCAATGATGTCACAACTACGAGACCAAATCTGTTTTTATTTGTTTTTATTCATTGTGCAAGGACCGAACCTTGGAAAGAAGGGAATATTGACAAAGTCTGTAGAGAGGGGCCCAGTGCTTAGTCGCTGCTCTCTCCTCCCACATGGACCTGATGACACGTGACTAAGGGAAAAGCTTTTCCTCGTTGTACAGGAGACGCTTTAATGATGAATTCTATATCTTCCGTTACAATCGAGTGTTTTACAGAACTTTAATCGTGCCAGGGATTTTCCTGTCTGATGTCTAGCTTCTGCACATAAAAAAATTGTGTTATTTTTAATTTCCTCGGAGTTACCTTTATACCTGACTTTGCTGATGTCATGGAAGGGGTTAATTCCAATGACGTTTTTACATTACAGCGTGGTGAATCGAGTGAGCAATATTACCACATTCATAGTCATTAAGACTTTTACTTCGCTTTAAGGGGCGCAGAGCCTGGATCTGTTGGCTTTAAGTCATCACTTTGCAAAAAAAAAAAGTTTTAAAAATGCATATATTTTATAATTAAAAAATGCGCCAGGACAAACATCTTCACCTGTATAAAATCTTTGTATGGAAGTGTGTTTTGCTGTACTTTACAACCGCCATTGCAGCCTGGCTGTTCTGCAGCAGCAAAAATGCACTTTGTTGCAATGGATAGAACAGACTCCACAGTAGCCACATGGTCCACCGTCATTTTATACCCCGTGAGAGCACAGCTGGACTGCATTATACATAACTTGCTCTGGTGCCCGGTTTTGTCGCTAATTAATGTGCTGCTAGATTCTAAACTGCCACCTGATTTTTTTTTTTTTTTTTATGATATTAAGTCACTTTTCCTTTTTTTTTCATTTAATATTAATGTTGCAAATGTCTTTTTTTTTTTTTTTTTTTTTTTCGATGCAAGGCTTGTAAAAAGATAATATATTTCAGGAGGGGACGTGAAACATTAGATGTCGGAAACAGTGTCTTATTTTATCATTATATTCTGTATATATGTATCGTATTAATTGTATTATACATGCATATAAAGCTTTTCCCTTGAAGGAGATCATTCAGATCAAGATGATGTGCGCTCTCTCATTTCCTATCTGTAAGCATTTACTTTGTTTAAAGGCTAAATCCACCTAAAAAAACAAAACTATGCATTTAATATTTTTCGCACAGGAGCCTGCAGAGCATTGCAGCTGTGATCAGTGGGTCCCAAGTGCAATGCCATGTTCCTGCAGAGTCCTCCTCCAGCTCTCTATCTGTACCAAGGTTCTAGCTCTCAGTTGGAAAGCTGGAGGAAATGTTAATGGACTACAAGTGCAATGGCACTTTTTAGTTCATTCATTCTCTATGTATGACAGACAAGGCTGTCATCTCACTGATTTCAAAAATGACATTGGCCCTTGGGGAGATGTTTTTTTTTTTTTTCCATTACTGATTTTCCATACTTTGATTTGCTCTGTGTCATCTTGGTAGAAGCAGGGCTTTACTTCCTCGTGTTGTAACTACCCCAGTGATGTCTGATGACTTTCTATGTGATGGCTGATGGGGTAATGATGAAGATGCAGCAGGGTGAGATAGAGGAAGCACAAATCCACAGAATGGATGAAGCAGAGAGATCCTTGCACTGCATGTCCTCAGGTACAGCTTCCTCGCAAGCCGAAAGAACAGTGAGCGGCACAGTAGTGACAACACCAAATCTTAAAGAAGAGGCAACAAACGCCTTGAAATTTCATATATGCAACTATAAATTTAAAATAGAACTGAAGGCAAAATGTTTTTATTTCCCGCTTACGTTTACTCACTTAATAGAGTAAGATAGGGTTAAACCCCCCCCCCCATCACTTTTCTTTTTTTTCTTTGCCATCTGTATCCCATTAGGAGGATTTACATAGTTACATAGTTAGTCTGGCTGAAAAAAAGACAAAAGTCCATCCAGTTAAACCATTAAAAAAAAAAAAGTTATAATCCTATACCCACAGTTGATCCAGAGGAAGGCAAAAAACCCAGCAAAGCATGATCCAATTTGCTCCTGCAGGGGAAAAAATTCCTTCCAGATCCCCCGCGAGGCAATCGGATATTCCCTGGATTAACTTTACCTATAAATGTTAGAATCCAGTTATATTCTGTGTGTCTAGGAAAGAATCCAGGACTTTTTTAAAGGAATCCACTTAGCTGGCCAGAACCAACTCTTGAGGGAGTCTATTCCAGATTTTCACAGCTCTCACTGTGAAGAAACCTTTCCGTGTTTGGAAATTACATTTTTTTTCTCCAGACGTAAAGAGTGCCCCCTTGTCCTCTGTGATGACCTCAGGGTGAATAACTCTATACCGAGTTCACTATATGAACCACTAATGTATTTATACATGGAGATCATATCCCCCCTTATGTATTATACATGGAGATCATATCCCCCCTTATGTATTATACATGGAGATCATATCCCCCCTTATGTATTATACATGGAGATCATATCCCCCCTTATGTATTATACATGGAGATCATATCCCCCCTTATGTATTATACATGGAGATCATATCCCCCCTTATGTATTATACATGGAGATCATATCCCCCCTTATGTATTATACATGGAGATCATATCCCCCCTTATGTATTATACATGGAGATCATATCCCCCCTTATGTATTATACATGGAGATCATATCCCCCCTTATGTATTATACATGGAGATCATATCCCCCCTTATGTATTATACATGGAGATCATATCCCCCCCCTTATGTATTATACATGGAGATCATATCCCCCCTTATGTATTATACATGGTGATCATATCCCCCCTTATGTATTATACATGGAGATCATATCCCCCCTTATGTATTATACATGGAGATCATATCCCCCCTTATGTATTATACATGGAGATCATATCCCCCCTTATGTATTATACATGGAGATCATATCCCCCCTTATGTATTATACATGGAGATCATACCCCCCCATGTATTATACATGGTGATCATATCCCCCCCCCCCTTATGTATTATACATGGTGATCATATCCCCCCTTATGTATTATACATGGAGATCATACCCCCCCCCCCCCCATGTATTATACATGGTGATCATATCCCCCCTTATGTATTATACATGGAGATCATACCCCCCCCCCCCATGTATTATACATGGTGATCATATCCCCCCCCCCCCCTTATGTATTATACATGGTGATCATATCCCCCCCTTATGTATTATACATGGTGATCATATCCCCCCCTTATGTATTATACATGGTGATCATATCCCCCCTTTTGTATTATACATGGAGATTATATCCCCCCTTATGTATTATACATGGAGATCATACCCCCCCCCCCCCCATGTATTATACATGGTGATCATATCCCCCCCCCCCCCCTATGTATTATACATGGTGATCATATCCCCCCCTTATGTATTATACATGGTGATCATATCCCCCCCCTTATGTATTATACATGGTGATCATATCCCCCCTTTTGTATTATACATGAAGATCATATCCCCCCTTATGTATTATACATGGAGATTATATCCCCCCTGATGTATTATACATGAAGATCATATCCCACTTATGTATTATACATGGTGATCATATCCCCCCCCCTTATGTATTATACATGGAGATCATATCCCCCCTTATGTATTATACATGGAGATCATATCCCCCCTTATGTATTATACATGGAGATCATATCCCCCTTATGTATTATACATGGAGATCATATCCCCCCTTATGTATTATACATGGTGATCATATCCCCCCTTATGTATTATACATGTTGATCATATCCCCCCTTATGTATTATACATGGAGATCATATCCCCCCTTATGTATTATACATGGAGATCATATCCCCCCTTATGTATTATACATGGAGATCATATCCCCCCTCATGTATTATACATGGAGATCATATCCCCCTTATGTATTATACATGGAGATCATATCCCCCTTATGTATTATACATGGAGATCATATCCCCCCTTATGTATTATACATGGAGATCATATCCCCCCTTATGTATTATACATGGTGATCATATTCCCCCTTATGTATTATACATGGAGATCATATATCCCCCCTTATGTATTATACATGGTGATCATATTCCCCCTTATGTATTATACATGGAGATCATATCCCCCTTATGTATTATACATGGAGATCATATCCCCCCTCATGTATTATACATGGAGATCATATCCCCCTTATGTATTATACATGGAGATCATATCCCCCCTTATGTATTATACATGGAGATCATATCCCCCCTTATGTATTATACATGGAGATCATATCCCCCTTATGTATTATACATGGAGATCATATCCCCCCTTATGTATTATACATGGAGATCATATCCCCCCTTATGTATTATACTACATGGTGATCATATTCCCCCTTATGTATTATACATGGAGATCATATCCCCCCCTTATGTATTATACATGGAGATCATATCCCCCTTATGTATTATACATGGAGATCATATCCCCCTTATGTATTATACATGGAGATCATATCCCCCTTATGTATTATACATGGAGATCATATCCCCCCTTATGTATTATACATGGAGATCATATCCCCCCCTTATGTATTATACATGGAGATCATATCCCCCTTATGTATTATACATGGAGATCATATCCCCCTTATGTATTATACATGGAGATCATATCCCCCCTTATGTATTATACATGGAGATCATATCCCCCCCCTTATGTATTATACATGGAGATCATATCCCCCCCTTATGTATTATACATGGAGATCATATCCCCCCTTATGTATTATACATGGAGATCATATCCCCCCTTTATGTATTATACATGGAGATCATATCCCCCCTTATGTATTATACATGGAGATCATATCCCCCTTATGTATTATACATGGAGATCATATCCCCCCTTATGTATTATACATGGTGATCATATCCCCCCTTATGTATTATACATGGAGATCATA